GAGTTTTGGTATGTTTTAGGGTGCTTAAGCTCGTCTTCTATCTCACAAATAGTGCCTTTATTTATAAGCAACAAGTTTGGAAGCTTGTTGTTGATCAGAATTCAAAATCACAAGTTTAAGCATAACATGTGATTTTTTGAGAAGTCCAAGTTTCAAAGCCTTGTGTACTTGCTAAGATAGAGTGGTTATGCTTTAAACACACTTGCTTCCGACTTTGTAGATGGAGTTTGATCAGAGGGAACAAGTTAGAGACTCAAGAGTTGACTTTGTACATAAAGCTTGGTTTTCAAGAATGGTATTCTTCACTTTCTTCCCAAAATGGCAATGTGAATTGGATAAAGCTTAAACCACTTCGATTATAGATCAAAAGTTTGTGTAATACATTAATTATGGATAGATACATAAGTTAGAAGGCCTGCAAAGCAAGATTATGCAGCCTAACATTGAAATTGCATTCTTGTTCATCATGAAAATGACCTATAATTCAAGAATGAAATGCCAACTTCATGCCTTCAATTCTCCTTGCTCAAACATGATCTCAAGGAGTTCTTAGACATTTTGGAAAGCTTGTAATATGCTCTAAAAACCCTCTTTGAATCACTTTTGAAAATTCCCCATGGAACTATATGAAAAATTTCCATGAAGTTAGGTCAAAATCCTGTCTAAACTAGGGCAAAATTTTCACTAAGTGTTTAGTTTCATGACCATGACTTCATGGATTAATGACTTGAGATCCAAGCATTTCTAGGATAAGTTGTGTAAAGAAATGTTTTATATCTCATGGAGATCTACAACTTTAATGTTGAAAGTTTCTTTTGAATCATCTTGCATCATGGTGAAAAAATGGCTCAAAGTTGTGAAAAAACATGAAGTTTTCAACACTTAGAAAAATTTCTAAGTTTGGAAACTTTGACTTTTCAAAATAAAATCTTGAATTTTTGATTTATTGATGAACAAGTTTCATATTTTGACATGTTTTGATGAATTGTGATCTTTCACACTTGATTTTGACCAAAAAGTCAAAGTTTGACTTTTCAGTGTACAGTTGACTGAAAATCAACTATCAATAAAATGACATTGAGCAATGCTTTGAGTCACGACATTAGGTAAAAATGATGCAATTGAACTCTTGAGATCATGTCTCAAACCAATTAACCATTTTCTAGGTCAAAAATCAGAAATTGTTCTTTCTCAATCAAAACCCTAATTTTGACCAATTTGCCTATTTGATGATCTGATCAAATTTCTTGAGGAATTATGGTCCGAAATTGATCAAATGACTTATATGAGTTCATAATATTTATATGGATAAAAAATTATGAAGTTTGACTGTAAATTTGCTACAGTTGACTTTTTCCCCAATACAGTTGATTTTTAGGTCAACTGCTCAATTGACTTAGGAAAAATGTGATCCAAGACTTGAAACTTGACATGAGTAATCTTGAGGGTCCATAATGATCTATGAAATTTATATGAGGCATTACAAGTTCAATTATCCTTGTGCAATCTAAAACCCTAATTTCAGTCATCAGTGCTTAAGGAGGTGTCTTGAGCTGATCAACCCTTGTGCAGTCTTGAACCAAAGGAGATTTTGTGAGAAAATACTTGATAAATGAGAGGGTAAATTTTGGGGTACAACACACACTTTACACCAATGGGTTGATTACCTTTTGGAAATTCGACTAGCTCCCAAGTGTTGTTGCGTTCGATTGCTCTAATCTCTTCGTCCATGGCACTTTTCCACTTCTTGTCTCGTAACGCTTCTTCGACACTGATGTTTTTAGCATCTTCCAGAAGGAACACAAGATTCAACTCACTTTTTGAATCATTTAAGTATTGAAAACTTCTCATTCTGGGTTGTAGAGGTTCATCTGCATCTTCAGTTTCTTCATGTTCTGTTGGAATACTTGTTGGTATAACTACAATTGTTTCTTCGACTGCGTCAATAACCTCTGTCAAATTTTTCCAGTCCCACTTGCTTTCTTTGTTTATTCGAACGTATCTACTCACGATCACTTTCTTGCTTATGGGATCAAAGAGCTTGTACCCTTTCATCTTCTCATCATATCCAATGAATATGTACTTCTGACTTTTGTCTTCAAGCTTTGTTCTTCGTTGATCTGGTACATGTGCATAATAAGCTACACTACTAAATACCTTGAGATGTGAAACTATTGGCTTCTATCCACTCCATGCTTCTTGTAGTGTTTTATCTTCTAACTTCAAATGTAGACATCTATTCTGAACATAAACAGCATATTATACTACTTCTGTCCAGAATTCTTTCGACATGTTCTTGCTTTTGAGCATTGATTGAATCATGTCAAGAATATTTCAATTCTTCCTTTCAACCACACCATTTTGCTGAGGTGAATATGGTGCAGTTAGGAATATCCTTATACCATGTTCTTCACAGTACGTCACAAAGGCCATCGAAGTATACTCACCTCCTCTGTCAGATCGAATTGCTTTGATGTGTCTATCTGTTGCCTTCTCCACCATTACTTTGAACTTTTTGAACACCTCTAATGCTTCAGATTTTTCTTTCAGGAAGTAAACACATGTTTTTCTTGAGAAGTCATCAATAAAAGAAATGAAGTAACTTTTTCCACTGAAGGATTCTGGAGTGATTGGCCCACATATGTTAGTATGTATCAATTCGAGAATATGTTTAGCTTGATACTCTGCCTTCTTTTGAAATGAAGTTCTTGTTTATTTGCTGAGCACACATTCTTCACATAATTTTCCTTCGAAATCCATGTTTGGTAGTCCATGCATCATGTTACTTTTCACCAATCTTCTCAAACCAACATGATGTAGATGACCAAAGCGCATATGCCATAGTGTCGCTTTGTCTTACACTTCGATTTGCAGACATTTCTCTCGAACGTTCCTCAGGTTCAGTTTGTACATTCGATTTCTTTCCATTTCAACACGGGCAATCAGATGTCCTACTTTGTCCTTCAAATGCAGTGTTCGATATTTCATAAGTATTGAAGCACCTTTTTCTGTAAGTTGTTCCAGACTCAATATGTTGGTTTTGAGATCTGGTACATAGTAAATGTCTTCAATTGATCCAATCAAGCCATCCTTCTACAAGTAACTGATTGTGCCCTTTCCTTCGACCTTCACTTTCGGTGCATCTCCAAAAGACACATTACCATCTTCAATTCTCTTAATATCTTTAAACATGTGTTTGTAACCACACATGTGATTACTTGATCCTGAGTCAAGATACCAAACATTGTCATTATTGGTGTTGATTTCGTTTTGAGCCATCAGGAGAAAGCCTTCATTCGATTCAGCTTCCAAGGCTAGGTTGGTTGTTTCTTCAATCTTCTTTTCGACTCGACAGTCTTTTGCAAGATGTCCCACTTTGTCACAGTTGTAACATTTGTAGGAGTTACAATCCTTCGCGTAATGACCATACTTCCCACACTTGTAGCATTCGAAGTTGGAATGATTCGAACGACCACCTTTTTGACCACGTCCTCTGCCACACCAATTTTGTTGGCTCGATTGTCCTCTTTCGAAGTTGCTACCTCTACCACTTCGACCACTGTCACGACCTCCACGTCCACGTCCTCTTCCTCGAAAGTTTTGAGAAAAGAGTACCTTTTCGTCTTTGTTCGATTCCTTGGTTTGATTTGCTTCTTCGACTTCTTCTTCTTTCTTTTTCATATTTCGTTGTTCATGTGCTTCGAGAGAACCAGCGAGCTCTTCGATTGAGAGCGTCGAAAGGTCCTTCGACTCTTCTATTGCACACACAATATTCTCAAACTTGTATGTTAAAGATCTCAAGATCTTTTCAACAACTCGTGCATCAATTACTGTCTCTCCATTTCTACTGAGTTGATTCACCACCTTTTGCGCACGTGTGATTTAGTCAGATATAGTTTCTGTATCCTTCATTTGTATCCTCTCCAATTCGCCATGAAGAGTTTGGAGTCGAACTCGCTTCACTCGATCTGCTCCTTTGAACACTTTTTCTAACGTGTCCCACGGTTGTTTCGACGTAGTCGAACCAGCAATTTTTTCGAAGCCTGATTCATCTACAGCCCAGAACAACATGTATAATACCGTTTTTTCCTTCGATTGCGTCTCTTTCAACGCCTTCTTTTGAGATGTCGTATATCTCCCAACTTCTGTTGGTTCTTCAAATCCTTCATGGGTGACATCCCACGCGTCTAGAGATCCAAGAAGAGCTTTCATTTGGATACTCCAGTTTTCATAATTTGACTTCGTTAGCCGTGGCAACGGCATTTGATTCATCATGTTTGCCATGAGCTCTGATGCCAAATTGTTATAATGAAGCAGACTTCGATTTCTTTTGTTTTGAGAAAGAGGCAAACTTTTCTATATTACTTATTCAATAAAATACACTCTTGGTCCTTATATAGACCCAATGACTTTTACAATTCAGAAAAGATAACTGCTACTAATAAAAACTCTCGTAACTTACTAACTTTTGACCTTCCAAATTATATTGATTCTTAATCTTCCTACTACCTTATTTAATATAAACATTTATTATTAAAGACATTAAAGTTTACTCAACAAAAATATTGTTGAGAGAGTTTAAAATATACATGGTATAGACCATAATTCGTGTATGCTTTATAGGACAATGATTCTTTGGAGAAGCAGAAGAAGAATGAAGTTGTTAATATATATATTGAAAAAAATTACTACCAAATAAGGTTTAGATGAAAATGTTTCCGAGACCTGAGAGCCATATTGCTGATAATATAGACACTACAAAGGATAAGATTAATAAAGCCAGAACCAATTTTATTCAACACAACAGTTTGATTCATATATATAATAACAAAGTATCTATCTATATCGGATCATAGCACATATTACATATATTCGATTTTTGGTAGGTTTCAAATTCAGATTTGCATCATAACCAAAGTACACTGGCTTAGTTTCATACATCAAATTACATTCATTTTTATTTTAAAGTTTTTTTTTTTTTTGCTATGTAGCTAATTTATTCATACTTGCACACAATCACCACACATATTAATTTGTACTTTGAGCTGCAAATTTCGATTCCCAAACTCCAATTTATTATTTTTGGTACATCTGCTCCTCAGTTGCAGTTCTGCATAACAAAGTTTCACGAGGAATCAAATTGAGCACAATATATATACATCAGAAATAATTTAAAGAAACCAATCAGTAGTTGATCAAATTGGCGCCGGAGTTTTTATTGAAAATTAAAGACAAATAAATTTCATCTTCAAATTTTTGCATCAACAATAACACTGCGTGATAATTAAAAAGAAAAGAAATTATTCTGTCTATATTTTTTTGTCAGTAAATAATGTATAAACTTGCCTTCCTGTGGCGACGGTTCTCATTGTCACTGTCACACTCATCACTGCTACTGCCACTGTCACTGCTGTGACCTGATATGCCATCCTTGATCTTCTGGAACATGTTTCTCTTCTCTTTCCTGTTTCTCCTTTGGTATTTTGCCGCAGTGGTAGCAGTAACAACAGTGGTGCCAGTGGCAGCGTGATTGTGGCGTGTTCCGTTGCATGTGTTGCTTTGATTTTTGGCAACATATCCTGGTTGATAAATCACATCTGTCTCGCTATAGTATTCGGTTTTGGTTTGTGTTCCATCATTGTGGTGTCCTTTGAACAAGTCGGTCACCTTCTGTCCGATTGAGCTATGTTGCTGGTGGTGGTGGGTTTTCTGTTGGCAGCTTTGTTCAGAGGTTTTGTAGCACTGAGAAGAAGCCATTGCAACAAAGTGAGTGTTTTTTTGTGATGTTTGTTTGCTTGTTGCTTATGCTTTTGAATTTTTGAGAACGAGTTCTCATATGTATATATAGGAACTAGTAAGGTATTGAATATTGATTAATATTTGGAATCTATCTTTTTGTGTGGGTTGAATAATATAGCATGTTATGGTATTTTACTCTATAGTGTCATCACCTTTTTATCATATTGCCAACTGAATATATACCAAATTAATTTCCTTCGGACACTTAAAATAATTTGGCAGAGATGAGAATCATATTCATACAGCCAGCCTAATTGGCAATGGTTAATATCAGAGTGGCCCATTTTAGATGGTGACTTTTCTTATTCCTCAAAATCACTTTGGAGGTAAATATTCGGAAAGACATAGTTTTTGTGTCTGGATGTGTGTTTACAAACAAAAACACTATTTTTTCTAATCTCAATGTCAACTTCAGAAATATCAGAGTGACTAAAGTTGATTTTTACTCTACTTTTTATCCTTCATGGTGGCTTCAAGGGTGATGTTGCTCCTAACAAATCTCTCATAGGTTAGCAATTATTAAATTATTAGATTAATTAAGGCAACCTCATATATATATATGTTATATAGTAGAGTGTTTTCATAAATGTTTCAAAAATATTATTATTTTATCTACTTCGACATATCTTATACATTTATTTTTGAAAAGATTTCAAATACACTAAAAAAAAGAGTAAAGATATATATAGAAGCAATGTTAAATAATGAATGATTAAAATTATTAATTTCAATTAAAACATTTTCTTCTTCTTTATAGACTAATAAATGAATGTTAAGTATTAAGATACATAAAAGAATGTTAATATTTTATGCCTTTTACATTTTGCTAGAACATTAACTATTATAAAAGATTAAAGAAAAATAAAAGTAAAAAATAATGAATACGATCAATCTTTATTAATGTAGTTTGATTAATATTATCTATTTCTACAACTATAGAAAAGCGATAGTTCTTTTTTATTTATGTCATTAATTATGGTTACAATGTTACATGTAATATATATATATATATATATATATATATATATATATATATATATATATATATATATATATATATATATATATATATATATATATATATATATATATATATATATATATATATATATATATATATATATATATATATATATATATATATATATATATATATATATATATATTATGGTTTAACTTACAATAATACTTCTGAGTCGTATTGTGGGGACTACGAATCCACACACCCTAGTCATCTACTCACAATAAATAGTTGGATCTAAGATACATTTGGAGTTTTCATATACCGTGTTCCTCTTTGTCTTAATATGAGTCATACCCAACAATCTTCACCTCCTGCTTAAAACTAAGAAACATGTAATAAGTCCAATCAATGCTTGAAGTTGTTGTTGATGGCTGACTTGGTCAACATATCAACGATATTCTCTTAATTATGAAAAAATTCAAGTAATATATGTCTAGATGCAAGTAACCCTCCGATCTTGTGAAATCTCATATCAATATATTTGGTCTTTGCATGACACACCTGATTGTTTACCTAATAAATAACAATCTAACTATCACAATGCAATAAGCTCTACCTTGCACAAGACTCAATTCTCTCACCAATCATGTAATCCATACGACTTAATTGACAACTTTACCTACCATTATATACTATGCTTGCCATTATAGATTAAACCGATGATTTTCAACAAATAGATCCTCTTACTAAAGTAAAGCCATACCCTGTTGTAGACCTTTTATCATTCATATCATCAGTATAGTTTGAATCAACATATCCTTCAAATAAATGACCAACTTGTTTACTGCTAAACATGATACCATGATCTATTGTACCCTTCAAGTACCTGAAAACCAATTAACTCATTCCTAGTGACACTTTCCCGTTTGGATATAAACATACTGTTGTACCCCAAAATTTTCCCTCCCATTTTCTTCAAGACATTCTTCTAGGATCCTCATTTGCTCAAAATGGCTCAAGAGTTGGTTAGACAAATGCTCCTCCTAAGCAATGTGTCTACAACTAGGGTTTTCATTTTCTCAAAGAAGATTGGGTCCTAAAGGTTTCAAGTGATTTCCATGGTTCTTCATATGTCTTCAAGGATAATCATATCAAATTTCAAGTCTTACATCACAAGTTTGCTCAGTCAATTGCTCAGATGATTGAAAATCAACTATATTGTGTAAAAAGTCAATTATGGTCAACATACAATCAAACTTCAAAGTTTTTGGTCAAAATCAACATTTTGAAGTGATATTCATCATTTGACCAAGGGTTGATCATGATTCCTCAAGAGAAGCCATCAAATCATCAAAAGTTCAAAGTTGCCAAATTAGGGTTTCCTTAGAAGAAGTCAACTGAACTTTAACCAAGCATAACTTCCTCGGAGACTGAATTTCGACAAGCATTTCATTGGAGACTGAATTCTGACAAGCATTTCCTCGGAGATTGAATTCCGACAAGCATTTCCTCGGAGGTTGAATTCTGAAAAACATTTCCTCGGAGACTGAATCCTGACAAAGAATTTCCTCGGAGACTGAATTCCGACAAGCATTTTCCTCAGAGACTGAATTCCGACAAGCATTTCCTTGGAGACTGAATTCTGACAAGCATTCCCTCAGAGATTTAATCTGACATGCGTTTCCTCATAGGCTGGAATCCGATAAAACATTTCCCCGAATACTGAATTCCGACAAGCATTTCCTCAAAGACTGAATTCCGACAAGCATTTTCTCGGAGACTGAATTCCGATAAGCATTTCCTCGGAGATTGAATTCCAACAAGCATTTCCTCGAAGAATGAATTTCGAAAAGCATTCCCTCAGAGATTTAATCTGACAAGAATTTCTTTCAGAGACTGAATTCTAAAAAACAGTTCCTTCGAAGACTCATTCCAACATCTTCTTCCAATTGAAGCCGCACGTAGACATCTTCTGGCTCAGATCAAATCGAGCATAGATTTATTCTGATACTCCTTCAGAAAAGCTGGGCGTATACTCTTTCCAACATATTTTCTAGTTGAAGTCGGGCGTAGACATCTTCTAGTATATCATTCAGACGAAATCGAGCGTAGATTCCTTCTGAAGCTCCTTTGGAAAAGTCGGGCATAGACTCCTTCCAACATCTTCTTCCAGTTGAAGTCGAGCGTAGACATCTTCTGGCTCAGATTAAATCGAGCGTAGATTTATTCTGATGCTTCTTCCAGTTGAAGTCGGGCGTAGACATCTTCTGGCTCAGATTAAATCGAGCGTAGATTTACTCTGATACTCCTTTGGAAAATTCAGGCGTAGACTCATTCCAACATCATCTTCTAGTTGAAGTCGGGCGTAGACATCTTTTGGCTCAGATTAAATTCAACTTAGATTTATTCTGATACTCCTTCAGAAAAGTCGGGCGTAGACTCTTTCCAACACCTTTTCTAGTTGAATTCTGGCGTAGACATCTTCTAGTACATCATTCAGACAAAATCGAGCGTAGATTCCTTCTGAAGCTCCTTTAGAAAAGTAGGGCGTAGACTCCTTCTAACATCTTCTTCCAATTGAAGTCGGGCGTAGACATCTTCTGGCTCAGATTAAATTGAGCATAGATTTATTCTGATACTCCTTTGAAAAAGTTGGGCGTAGATTCTTTCCAATACATATTCTAGTTGAAGTTGGACGTAGACATCTTCTAGTACATCATTCAGATGAAATCAAGCATAGATTCCTTCCGGAGCTCCTTTGGAAAAGTCTGGTGTAGACTCCTTCCAATACTTCTTCCGTTTGATGTCGGGCGTAGACATCTTCTGGTTCAGATTAAATCGAGCGTAAATTTATTCTTATTATCCTTTTGGACCAAGTCGGGTGTAGACTCACTCCAAATACATCTTCTAAGGAAAAGTCGGGCATAAACTCAGTCTAATTTCTATCAACTGTTACTTTGGATGGCATCTATAAGTCCATCTCCGATGACTCTCTATCACCTCTCTAAATGGCATCTTTAAGCGCATTCCCGGTACAACCAACCAACAACATTACTTCTTGCACAGGCGAGTGCAAATTTCTGGGCACTTAAGTGTTCAATCCTCTTCTACCTTCAAGTTGCGAATGGTAGACATGTCAATCTAACTCTTAAGGTTTAAGAAGATTGAACAGGGGCAGCTTTTGTACCCTAAAATTTGTCCTCCCATTTTCTTCAAGACATTCTTCTAGGGTCCTCATTTGCTCAAAATGGATCAAGAGTTGGTTAAACAAATGCTCCTCCTAAGCAATGGGTCTACAACTAGGGTTTTGATTTTCTCAAGGAATATTGGGTACCAAAGATCTCAAGTTATTTTCATGGTTCTTCATATGTCTTCAATGATACTCATATCAAATTTTAAGTCTTGCATCACAAGTTTGCTCAGTTAATTACTCAGATGATTTAAAATTAACTATATTGGATAAAAAGTCAACTATGGTCAACATACAGTCAAACTTCAAGATTTTTGGTCAACATCAACATTTTGAAGTTATATTCATCATTTTATCAAGGGTTGATCATAATTCCTCAAGAGAAGCCCTCAAATCATCAAAAGTCCAAAGTTGCTAAATTAAGATTTCCTTAGGAGAAGTCAACTGAACTTTGACCAAGCATAACTTTCATATGCTTCCTTAACTTTTCCCCAACCAAATCCTATTTTGGAGGAAATTCAATTCTCTACAACTTTGTATTTATGCTCAAGTCCAAAAAATGCTTCATTTGAAAGATATGAGCCCATACATTAAAGGTCATTTTAAAAGTCAATAAAAAGATACTTTTTGTCAAGGCAACTTACATTAAGATAAAGTCTCCAAATGCAAAAATGATAAAAGATAAATTTAAAAGGACATCTTGATCTTTCCAAAAAGTCAAAGATCACCTTCAAATAATGAAAACTGAGAGAGTTATGATTGGTGAAAATTGGGAAATTTTTGAGAAAATGCACGAAACTTCAT